ACAGAGCATATCGACCTATTCCCAGTTTTGTTTGTTCTGTCCCAGCTACCACCATATTCCAACCTATCACCAGCCCATGTTGAATCGCATGAATAGCCAGTGGTCCAAATCTGGACACGGCAAATCCCATCGAAGCACTGGCAAGATGTCGGGCATATGATGTCCATGATGTGCTGAATTCGCTCACAGAACGAAATCGTCCGAGAATGGATGATGACCTTCGATTTTGTGCCTCCTGAAGTTGCTGTTCCAATTGTTCTTTACCCCCGTTATCAGTGGGATAGTCTAGGAGCGGAAAGCCGCAAGCTAGGACGGTCCGCAGAGATCGCAACCCCCCTAGGAGGGATCTTGTTGCTCCTAGTTCCACGGCTCGCTATGAGGCCAAGAAACAGTAGCATTAGACACTTTTATCCGAAACACGTCAATGATCCGGAATTGAGAAGGCCCCACTATCTCCTCATTGCTTCTCGATGTTCAACTGCAGCTAAAGGAGGCGGTTTGGGAACTATGCCACCATTGCAGCTGATTCCGTCCCGCAAGGATTATCATCCGGCTTAAGAGTAACCCCTGGAGCTCTCTCATATTGACGATGGATAGGTTGACCCCGTAGAAATGAATTGGTTCTGTGCCTAAGGTACCTACTTGCAATTGTCGACTTTGTCCCAGAGTACGGTGTCGTAGTCGAAGGTCCTTGCGTCCGTGTATCTAGACTTCTAAGAATTGTAGTATAACGGCAACCATTTCTTAACGGTCTCGATTACTTCAACCACTTCCGCCATTATTTCATGGCTGAGATAGTCACCGACTTGGTCTGGTGCTGGACCGACGCCAACGGGGCCGTAGTCGTGCGCGTCAAATATCTGTGGATGCTCGAACACTGGCTCGGGCTAGGACGACATCGTATTCTGGGACAAAGTCGGCAATTGCAAGGACTTCTGGTTGGACGTGATCGGAGAGGTTGGAGTCGACCTCGGGTTCAACCCCCGCATTAACAATGCCTTGAGGTAATGCATTCGTAATCTTCTGGATTTCCACGGTTAATTTGAGCTGAGTACTATGACAGGATAAGGACTTTATTTATTCTCCGAAATGAAGAGTCGGACCTCGCCAAGGTATTCTATGTTCTGTCGGATGTTGTCGACAATGTTCAGGTTTGTTGTCTTCGGAGTATGCCTGTGCTCTTGAGCGTTCGGTATGTCGTTGTTAGCGTATAGGTTCGACATCGGTATAGAAGTTAGTCGACTAATAGATGTCTCGTAGAAATATACTAGGTAATCAGGAGTATGTGAGTTTCTTCCTAGTTAACTATTGGGATCGGGGGAGTAATACATACCTACGGGTAGCCTCAAGGGATTTAATGCTTGAGCATTTTTGGTAAAGGGCTAATTAGAAGGAAGTGTGCCCGAACGCATAATCCAACGAAACCAAGGGAGAAGTTATAGGACGTAGGCGTTCCATATAACTGGGCCGCCCTGTGGTTGACCTTTGTGAATTGATGGAGAAGGGATAGGAAGAAGAGACGATGGGAAAGGATAGAACATTCAGAAGGGTTATATAACTGGCGAAGGGAGAGATAAATTAGCTCTAAGCTGGAATAGGGTTATTACGCTCAAATAACACGCATTGAGCTTGGAGGGAGGAGTTATGAGGACATAGAGCAGCTGCTAATAGGTTTCCCCTTATGAGAAAGGATTAGTCGGGTGGACTCTCTTAAATTGAAAGTACATCCTGCATCTGTAATTTGTACCAAAGCGTAGGTACCGAAGAAGCGGTTTGATAGGTCATCAAGCCATTAGAAGATATACATGTGCATATAGCGTAGCTCTTGACGTATCCTATACCAGAACGAGGCATACATACGTCTATTAGGAGGAACTCTTGCTAGTATGCAGAGTTACGAAATTCTGTATTGTATCTTACAGTCAGATTTCTTATGAATTTAGTTTATTGGGAGAAATTCAACTTGTTTCTCACCGGGCCCTAGACAATATACTTACCTGATTTTGCTTCCCTTCTCGCCCGGTTGGGGCAGTTATTAGGTTATAAAGTATACCTCACCCAATTAAAAGAGTACAATACCTAGTAAGATGGTGAATTTATTGTAGTACTGCGGATGTACAAAGAAGAGAAGTACAAGAGACTCCGGGTCTAGGTAGCTTAGGGACTAGTACCTTGTACGTTGGTATCTGATTCGCACCGAATACACTTTAATAAGGGGGTAATCGGTTGTATAAGTGTGAAGGAGGTAGGTAGGGTAACAAAGCAGTTTCCTGATTTAATATACTCAACATACAAAGTTTTTAACGTAACGATCAGGTGTGATTAACTCAATTGGTTAATGATGTCGATACCAATGCTCCGCTACGAACCCTCAGTCCTCGTAGGTTACCTACTCTCAGGATTGCTCATACTCAAATCCACTGCCTGTTACCAAAGTGCGAGACAAACAATCCTCCATCACCACGTTCAACACTCGCATTGTTGATGACGTTAACGATACACTTGACAGACTCCTCGGGCATGATTGGGCCCTTGAAGTGCGGTGCATATTCCCCGAACTTCCGCATCATCTTTTCAAGATTTTCGAGTTCTCTTGGAGATACTGTCCCAAGAAACCACATCAGCGAGTATTCAAAGGTAAGAAAAGGGGAAAGAACTATTCTTAATACAGTGGGACAATAGGAACAGAGACTTACAACCTGTAGGATCAGTATGTCCCGATGTCTCTACTACACCAGGACAGATACTCATGAACAAGATTCCCTCGCTATGGAACTCGGCGTGGTACTTCGCGACGGCGAAATTCATTGCCGCCTTACTCATGGCGTACGGCGCGGCCATATCAAGCTCGAAATTTCGAACCAAGTCAACATCCGACATGCCCGACGAGATCGCGATGACCTTCTTAGCTTTACCCTTCCGGATAAGTGGGAGAAATATGTTAAAGAGGTGGATGTTTCCGACAACATTAGTCTTGTACGCTGTGAGCAGATCCTCTTCTAGGGCTTTGGGCTCGTCATGCCTAGATTGCAGAGACAGGTCAGCTTCGGCAGCTCCCAGTGCAAGAATACAGTGAAAATGACATTGGTTGAAGAGGAGCAAAAGAAGAGGGACGTACATGTCGTAAAGGGTTTTCAAATGCGAATACGTGGTCAGAAAGGCACCGTTCGCAATGAGGTAATCCAGGCTACCACCAGTAATCTTAGACGTGTCTTCGGCCGCTTTCTACATACACAATTAGCTGCCGTTTATAAACATCAGACAATTTCCATACCTTTAGGGAATCGTAGTCTATCAGGTCCCCATGCAGAATATGGATATTAGAACGTCCGATCTCAGCAGCTACTTTCTTTTCGGTGGCAGCCTTGTCTCGAGCGAGCCCAATAACAATTGCTGCTGGATCCGCGGATAGCTGGCGAAGAAACTCAAACTATTATTCTATGACTTAGTATCTTTTCCAACGAATTAGTCAACCAGATACTTACGCCAATTCCTCGGGATACGCCTGTTACTAAGTAAGACGGCATTTTACTTAGCGTTGCTTGATTCCAAGAAGGGTTTGCAGTAAAAAGAAATAGGTAAAATAAAGGTCAGTGATAATTCTCTTGAGGACTTGGTTGCCACTTAGACTCTTTTTCGTGGCAGCGAGACATGTTTTTATATACAGGACGAATGTCATCTTGCCTACGTGCTTTATAATAATCACCTACTTAATCCATAGAATCATCATCTTGTGCCGTAATTCGGATGTCCAGCCATTTCACGGTCATCAGCAATTTCGTCCGCCCGACGGACTAGATTGGAAATCAAGGGTTAGTAAGCCTACGATGAATATTGTGATCTCAATTATCGTATATCCGGAGGATACCATTACTTTCGTTTATCTTATCCCGCTAGGCGCCTAGCCCAGCATCTCACATCATACGTCTTATGAGCATGGAGTTATAGGTACGGCGGAGTGATGATTGTTGCGTACCCCGAGGCTATCGTGCGTGTTATGGATATCCAGATTAGCGGTCCTTGAGGCTCTAGCATTATCCTAATCTGTTCTGCCTAGAACCAAGCTAAACGCCCTTGAGATTTATTAGAAGAGTGCAAGTACTTCTTCTAGGTTAGCCTTTTTTCCCCGAAAATGTCTTTGGAATATGTGATAACTCGAAATATTACTAGAATTAGTTGATGACCTGGGATATGCCAAGACGCATGGGAATAGTTCAAATCCTCTAGCGTGCACGGATCCATCGAGATTCGATCGAACCAGATGCTCCCCTAGATCGAAACCTAGTATGACGATAGGCCTCATCTGCGAGTTTAAAGCCGCTTCGTTCAGTCGGTCCAAGTTAAGAAGCCCGGAGAGAAGTTGACAAAATGCATCTCATGCGTGTGGCGAAGGCTTTAACGTTATCGCTCGACTAGGTAGGTATATTTCAGATCATTGCATCTTGAGTCAGATACTCTGCCCAGCTCCTCCATGATCTTATCATAGAGCCCTAGCTTCCCTCCTTCATAATTTAATATAGAATAGTGTCAGAGCCAACCCTCTTTCATTCGTGGGGACTATAATAGATGAACTAGGTTGTGTGATTAATTGATGGTTTTATGGAACAATGCATAGGGAAACCCATTATTAAAGCTTAAGGATTGGGGCTAGCCCGCAAAAGATTATCCTAACTTACCTTCTGGATAACATCCTGCATAGTGCTTTTGGGACCGCACTTGGTTATTTTCTAGTTGAGGTTATTGATAGGTGGTGGTTCCGAGTTGCACTGTCGAATGGCCGCCAAGATAACAATCAGCGAGCGGTGACCGCTTAAGCATCCCAGCATGTCCCCGCCTGGACCGTAACGTGAAGTCGATAGATTATTTCACTTAAGACGCAAAAATTGGAGAGGCTTGTACCAGGATTTGGATCTTTCTTTTCCTAAAGAAGAAAGTAAAAATGAAAAATAGAAAGAGTATAGAAGTCGCTGTAAACTGCAAATGATAAAAGAAAAAAGGAGCTCTCGATCGGGGAATCGAACCCCGGCCACCTGCGGCTTGTCCATGACAAGCAGGTATCCTGACCACTAGACCAATCGAGACGGTTATGATGTTCTGAGAACACCGATTTGCTAGCTTTGTGATGGGATTCACGTGTCCAAATGCTCGGAAAAACTGATTATATTTTACTCGGGTGTTTTTGGAATTCGGGCTAGCGATTACCAGAAATTTCCATCCAGTCCCCGCAAAGGTATCAGCTGACCAATTATAGCTGGGTATAGTAGACCCTTAGCGGTGAGTCCGGTATAAGCCGGCGCTAGATCTAAGAAGCAGCGATGGCGCATCGTGGGGTGCCACCTGGCATTTAGCTAGTCGTCGGCCTGACGATATGACTCTGGGGCCATTTAAGGTTACACCGTTTTTCGATCAGGTCAAGAAAGCTTTTCCCCAGGAAACTCAAGAACCACCAACGGTCAGACCTTCCTTGTCTCATGCAACGGTTCACATTCCATTACGTAGACCTAAAATTCTGGTTTTTTAAGATGCATCATACCAAGATATAGAAACCCAATCCTTTTACCAAATCCTTTTTTGGCTTCAATGTTGTAGAACAATTTCACACGTACATTTACATACAGGTATACATCTTACATACATCGCGCCTAGACCTGTTTTAACCCCGTTTTGTATATCGTCATCATGGCGGACCCACGGATATCAGACCAGTCGGAACATGAAGCCCAAGTGGTATCAGAACATCTACCCTCTGGATACTCAGCTGCATTTGATGGCCAACCTATCAGTTATGGCGCTACCTCGCCTTCTAATTCAGATCAAGCAGAGCAGGGCGAATCCTCCCTGAAACTGCAAGGAGGCGACATCCACCGGGATCTTTTCAAGACAGCCGAGCGGGCCAGGATGCACAAACGAGCAGCAACCTTCCATCACCCTCCGGACGCAACAGGCGATAATGAAGTCGAGGGTTTAACTGTTAGCGAGCAATTGGCCCCTGGAGGATTCCGCAGGGCTTTCATACAGCAAAAGCAACAGCAGCGCGAAAGCTGGGCTTCAAGGATGCCCATCACTAGAAATTTCGTTGAATTCTTAGAATTGTACGGTAGCTTCGCCGGAGAGGACCTTGCCGACTCCGACGATGAAGCAGTACTATCCGAAGAGGGCGAGGAAGAAGAAGAGCCACCACGGGAAACGCGGCCGCTGCTTGGGCGTCGTAGGAGTTCGCGTGCTTCACGGGCGGGTAAGGCTACTACCAAGCAGACCTTCTTCACCTTATTAAAGGCCTTCATTGGAACTGGAATCATGTTTCTCCCAAAGGCTTTTAATAATGGCGGCATTTTATTCTCCTCCATGACGATGCTGGTCATATCGACGGTCACCATGCTGGCATTCCATCTGCTCCTTGCCTGTAAAGCACGATACGGAGGTGGTTATGGAGAAATAGGCCAGGCGATAGCTGGAAATAGAATGCGCGGGCTGATATTGAGTTCCATCACTCTGTCGCAATTGGGATTCGTCTGCGCCGGCATAGTGTTTGTTGCTGAAAACTTAACATCGTTCCTCCAAGCTGTCGGACATGGCGCCAGTCTCTTGTCACCGACGACTTTAATTCTCATGCAGCTTATCGTTCTAATCCCTCTATCGTTCATCCGGAACATAGCTAAACTCGGTCCCGTCGCCCTCTTAGCGGACTCTTGCATTTTGCTTGGCGTGGGTTACATCTATTACTACGACATTGCCCATCTTGCGTCGGAGGGCATTCACAAGAGCGTCGTTCTCTTCAACCCGGCCAAATACACATTGACCATCGGAGCGGCCATCTTCACATTCGAAGGTATCGGACTCATTCTCCCGATCCAATCTTCAATGACGAAACCAGAACGATTTGAGTGGCTCCTCGGTACTGTCATGATCATCATCACGATCCTATTCACTGCTGTCGGCGCTCTCTGCTATGCCACATTTGGCGAGAACACCCAGATTGAGATCATCAATAACTATCCCCAAGACAGCAAATTCGTCAATGCGGTCCAGTTCCTCTACTCGCTCGCGGTTCTCGTCGGAACGCCCGTGCAGCTGTTCCCCGCCATTCGTATCATTGAAAGCAAAATCTTCGGATCTCATTCGGGCAAGAAGAGCGCCCGCACAAAGTGGATCAAGAACGCATTCAGGACTTTCATAGTCATTTTCTGCGGCGCGATTTCAATTTTGGGTGCTTCCAACCTCGACAGATTCGTTGCCTTGATCGGGTCTTTTGCTTGCGTTCCCCTCGTCTACATCTACCCAGCATACCTGCATTACAAAGGCGTCGCATCCTCGTGGCCCGCTAAAGCAGGGGATATCTTGTTTATGGTGGTTGGCATCGTTGCGATGGTTTACACGACAATCATCACTGTCATCAATAGCTTTATGAGCTGAGCGTTCGTTCATCAATACATACTGCTGCGCATTGGCGACCGGAAGAAAAAATAAAAGAAATGGCATTCACATGAGCATCGGGATTAAAATTGGAGTTATCAATTGATTTAGCAGCGTATCGATTTTGGATAGCCACATTACGATCATTTAGACTTGGGTTATTCGCCTGTGGCGCTTTTCGACAGCAGAGTACGAAAAAACGACGATGTACAATATGCGGCCAACATTGAATTTAGGGACTTGGGAATTATACTATTACATTATTTTATAATTTTCTAACTACGATTTGGGCCTATTGAATGTTGTGCTTCTATTGCTAACCTGCCGTGACCTGATTGACGGATGCTTGCACGATCGCGTGTTACTGTAACCCGCGCGGAGACCAAGTACCTTGATGTATCACGACCTTGACTTAGATAGTAGTAAGTATAACCACCAAGATGGTTTATAGAATTTTGGGAAATCCTAATACTTTTAACCCCAGAGATCACTTATGGCCAATGCCAATAACAAAGGTACCCAGAAGATAGCATAGAGAGCTTCTCGAATCAACACATTCTTTATGCATGGAAGCAATGCCTCAAGAGTCGCAACCTGACATAGTCGCCGACCTATATGTGCCACACATCAACATCAATCCTTCGTCAAGCTAGAAGCACGCATCAAGAGTAGATTTCTAAATAATCCATGTTATGAGTCATACCGATATATACGAATGTTTGGAATCATATAGAGAAGGAAGCGGGTGTCGCGTAATCCAACCCGGAACACTTGGTTATGCTGGCTTTTGTTCCTAGGTTCATTAAAATAGCTTCAGAAATGCCGCGTCGTCATTGGCACTACGCACGTCCCTACATCCGTTTTGGGAAAACGGTGGTTGATGACGGGCATATGCGGACAAGGGAGTGACAAATCCCCTTGCCTCTTTGGGATTCGGCGTATATGCTAGAGCAAAATCGCTACTAATAACAACTCTTCCAGGGGTAAGTAAGAACCCTTACTATGAGGCAGGCAAGTATCCATAGATGCTGATAGGTAAGTATAATGAATAGGTAGGCAATTTTATATAAAATGGCATCTCGTCTTCTGGTAAGGAAGTCGAGAACATCAAGCCCTTCTATTCCAACTCTCTAAGAACCGTCCTATCTATACCACATTTCCTCGACAACATCCAGAAACAATATGTCTCTACAAACTCAACTCGAAGCCGTAACGGCACAATTCAAAAACGCCCCAGCCGAGCTCCGGGACCCCATCAACAAGGCTCGAGAAGACTTCGTAGCAACCTTCGACGTGAGTGGCGCGATCCAGCCAGGCCGAAAACTGCCCGAATTCGAACTCCCAGATTCCCTGAACAGGACGGTCCGCAGCTCAGATCTCCTGGCCAAGGGCCCGCTGCTGATCACCTTCTACCGCGGGCAATGGTGTCCGTTCTGCAACCTAGCGCTGCACGCGCTGCAGACGAAGCTCGCCGACTTCAAAGCCAAGGGCGTCACGCTCGTCGCCATCTCGCCCGAGCTCCCGGACACCTCCTTAACAACAGCCGAGAAGCAGAAGCTGGAGTACCCGGTGCTGTCGGACGTGGGGAATAAGTACGCGCGACAGTTGGGAATCGTGTTCAAGCAACCGGACTCGCTGCGGCCTGTGTTCGAGAAGATTGGGAATGATCTTGTGAAGAACAATGGTGACGATTCGTATGAGGTTCCTGTGCCGGCTACGCTGCTTGTTGATCGGGATGGGGTTGTGAGGAAGACTTTTGTTGACCCGGATTATACGAAGAGGCTTGAGCCGAGTGTTGCGCTGGAGTGGATTAATTCTCTATGAATCAATCTAAAGAAACCATGAAACTTATGGACGGAGAGAGAATGATCGGATTGGGAGGATTCTGTATCATCTAAGTTCGCTTGTACTTCCATTGAGACCTAGGTAGCCTAGGAATCACCTAGCATCCAAGAATCTGTACTCATACTTCCGCAATTGAGTATTGCATCACTATGGAGCATATACATGGCTTGAGACTCTGAGATATTGTGGTCGACGACTCAACTTACTACTCCTATCTAGTCCTATCGTCAGTATGTAAGCGATCAGAGTAAACTCGAACACTATTTCCCCGGCCGAACTAAGGACGGCCGGGGAAATGTAGTTGGATTGACTTTGTGGGATTTCAACGTTGTTCAAGCTCGTTCTCTTTGGCCTCGCGTCGAACCACAGTGGCGTAAAAAATTCGAAGACTATCGATCGCAAGCCGCCAAGTCTCATAGGCAAGCCAAGTATATCCGAGACAGAGCTGACGAGGTGACAAAGCGCAGCATCAAGAGCTAATATGTCGTCAAACCAAGGGATACGTGAACCTCTGGTATTGAGGTGTCTTTATTATGATGATATCGCATGTGTCGCATTATATTTATTAACCCCCGATGATGCTATACCGAGCTGCCACCCTTCTCAAATTTTTACCATTTCCGACCACCTTTCCTTCCCTATAAAACCGATTCCTATACCATGCTCGAGTTGCAAATATGATGAAAGAAAAGACAAGAGACCAAACAACCTTACTCGAGCTTCTGGTATAATCTATATTAATCCGACTTCACAGAAGCCACAGAAGCCAGCATAGAAAACTGGCCTCCCGCACCCGCCCACACAATCTTCTCTCCGCGTATCG